GCCGGAGCCGAGAAGCCGGAGAGCCGGCCAGACGCGGGCAGCTGTGGAGCAGCGGCGACAGCGACTGAAGAGAGAGAGAGCGAGAGTGAGAATGAGATCGAGCAGGCGCCGGAGCTAGAGGCTGAACGGGAACTAGCGAGTCAGCAAGCCGCTCCGCCCGCTGCTTAGCCAGCCAGTCACTCAGACTGCCGGGCTGGCTGGTAGGCAGTGGAGTGGCGCGAGGGATCTATGCGCCTGCGCATGCCCGGGAGCGCGCCGCCGCCGTTGGCGTGGCCGTTGGCCTTGGCCTTGCGGGGCTGGACTCCCTCCCGCCCCCTCCCCCCACCCGCAGCGCCGCCGCCGCCGCCGCCTCCCCCCCCCCCCCCCCCCCCCGCGAGCCGCGATGGGAAATCGCGCGCGCCCCTCCTCCCCGGGGTACGATACCTTCCCGTCTCCCCTCTCTCGTCTAGCCTCTCCCTTCTCCCGTTTCGTCCTTCAGCCTCTCCCCCGTCGCCCCTCAGCCTCTCCCGTCTCCCCGCTCCCTTCTCTCGTCCCCCTCTCACCTCTCCCCGCTCCCCTCTCCCGTCTCCTTTCTCCCTTTTGTACAAAGCGTTCGTACGCTGTTCTCCTACCCAAAGATCTAGGCTGCGGGGACTTGGAGACGTTCACTCCCCCGCCCCTCGGCAAAACTCTTGGGTAGAAAAAGCCCCCTTTCCCTCCTCCTCCCCTTCCCCAAATAACACACACCTTCAGATGCGCTTCACGGTCGATCCTAGTAAAATAAAATCACTGGTCTGATCTGCCGACAGCCACTGGAGCTTCTGAAAACCCAGGTTGCAGGAGGGGAGAAAAGCTGAGCATCCCTCTGCACCTGCTGCTGGTTGCTATGAGGCGCCGGGGGAAGGGAGGGGGGCTTCCGTGAGCAATTACGTGCAATGCAGCTGCTTGGCCCCCTGAAGTGGATGGGAATGGCACATTCTAGACAAACCGGCTTGCTAGTTGTCCCCCCCAAATTTGCATTCCACCTCCAGCCTATCTTAGGGTGCACAAGCTTCCCCCTATTCCTGGAATGCACTGGAAAATCCACAGCTCTGCCTGTCAAAATCCTGAGCTTCTCTGACTCCACCCCTACCCCCACCCTACCCCCTCTTCGCTTGTTAATGCACTCTTCCTCCTCAAATGATTTCGTATTTACTTATCCTTATACCTGTTGTATTGCCCCAATAAAAATGGTTTGTTTTTGCCTTTTATATCTCCCCCCCCCCCCCCCCACCCATATACCGCCTGGCACAGGGCAGCTCCTTTGGGGAAGGGGGGGGGGTCGGGGGGGGGGGGAGGTGGCGGGGGAAAGGGAAATGAATGGATGTGGAGTTCAAACCTGGGATTTCAGTGGCATAAGAAACTCTATCAATGCAAATTAGAAATTTGTAATCTTAGACTGTTGCTTGAGAGCACCGAGACGTTTAGTAACTGGCCCATAGACACACAGCCAGGATGTGCCTGAGAAAGGAGTTGAATCCTGGTCTTTCTGAGGACAGTTCTCTATCCATAAT